AATTGATGCTTTTGAACTGTGGTGTTGGAGAAGACTCTTGAGAGTCCCTTGGACTGCAAGGAGATCCAACCAGTCCATCGTAAAGGAGATCAAGCCTGGGTGATCATTGGAAGGACTGATGCTGAAGCTGAAACTCCAATACTTTGGCCACCTCATGCGAAGAGTTGACTCACTGGAAAAAACCCTGATACTGGGAGGGATTGGGGGCAGGAGGAGAAGGGGATGACAGAGGATGAGACGGCTGGATGGCATCACTGATTCGATGGACATGAGTTTGGGTAAACTCCAGGAGTTGGTGATGGACAGGGAGGCCTGGTGTGCTGCAATTCATGGGGTTGCAAAGAATTAGACAAGACTGAGAGACTGAACTGAACTGAACCTATCCTATTACTGTATTTTGGGAGCAAATAGGTTGTTTTTTAGATTCACAGGTGAATAGAGAGTAAGGAATTTTACCCTACAATGAATCATAGCAAGAGACTTATCATACCCAACTTGGATGATTCAGATGATGAGATTTGGGACTTTTGAGCAGATGATAATTAGGTGAAATTTTGGACTTGAATTGATGCTATAGTCAGTTAAGAATTTGGGAGAAGTTGAAATAAAATTGATGTAAATCTTTTGAGGCCAGAGAGTGAACTGTAGCAGACAGAATAATGACCCTAAAGATGTCCACATCTTAGTACCACCAAACCTATAAAAATGTTAAATTACATGGTAAGATACATACAACTTGTCAGTTATTTTATAGGATTCACTCAACTTGGGTTTTTCTGATGTCTTCTCATGAATATATTTAGGTTAAACATTTTGGGGAAGAAGTGATGCTGAACACCTCTCAGTGAATCATACTAATATTATAAGATGTTGCTATATCTTACTACTGGTGATGCCAGTAAAGATATTATCTACTGTAAAGACATTATTTTTCCCATTATCATTAATAGATATCTTGAAGTGAGATATTCGAGGCTATGCATACATCGTGATTCTTGCCACATTTTCACCCGCTATTTTTAGTCTTTGTTGATGATGCACACCCACAAATGACTGTTGCATATATTGTAGTAATTTTCCACTTTGCTCATGTCTTGTTTTAAATGATAGTTTATTGTAAGAGCAAGCTATTCTTTCTCCATTGTGTGTGTGCATTTGTTAGTTTATATCAGTATAGGATCATAGATACTTATTCTATTCTATGGGCTATGGTCCAGGAATATCCTTATTTGTCTTGTTGCTCAAGTATTCCCACTTTGACCACTGGGATCAGTTTCGTGTTGGCTCCCATGTTCTTTTATCATATTTCTGTAATTTTTTTTAGTACTCCCTTACTTTTTGGCACATAATATATTCCAGTCTCATATTTTTCCCTTTCACATCCCTGGAATTTGCTATTTTTCCAAGAAACATAGTTTATTTTATAGGAGAATGTTATTTAGAAAGCAAGGCCTGTGTTCTAAGTGAGTTCATTGTTACTAGACTGGCATTGCTTCTAGGTATTCTATGAACACACAAATATTTACCTATATTTACTTTTGTATCTATCTGTACATTTGTAAAACATGAGTTTTAAAAACAGACAGCTTTGATTCCAATTCAATACTACAGTGATAATTTTAGCATTTCTTCTTTGCTCATTTGAAATGTTATTCTTCAATAGCAAGAAATCTAGTTTTCATTATTCATAATATATTTACTTATTTATTTAAACCCACAATGTAAGTATATTAGTTTCAGACTTACTAACTCATATCCCTGTGAGGGATATATTTACCAATCAGGGCTGTGCTTGTATAAAGTTCTTTTTCATCTTTAGTCCTAAAATATACAGTAGAAATCCTGCTTTCCAAAATTAATTTGTCTAGTTCTTCCCATTCTTTTCTGTATAGCTATGTTCCTCATTTGTAATATAATTAGGTTGATTTGTTACTTTTTGTGCTTCACTTTGGGTTCTTCCAACTGTCAGGTTGATTTTTTTTATTTATTTAGTTTGAGTACATGAAACAATACTATGATTTCATAAGTTAGACCTATGCAAAAAAAAAAAAAATTCCAACATTCGTTGGATCATCAAAAGAGCAAGAGAGTTCCAGAAAACTATCTACTTTTGCTTACTGATTACACCAAAGCCTTTAACTGTGTCGATCTCAACAAACTGTGGAAAATTCTTAAAGAGATGGGAATACCAGACCACCTGACCTGTCTCCAGAGAAATTTGGGTCAAGAAGCAACAGTTAGAACTGGACATGGAACAATAGACTGGTTCCAAATAGGAAAAGGAGTACCTCAAGGCTGTATATTGTCACCCTGCTTATTTAACTTATATGCAGAGTACATCATGAGAAACGCTGGGCTGGAAGAAGCACAAGCTGGAATCAAGATTGCCNTTATAATTGAGCTACCTGGTTCCACAGTTTTAGAAACCTGAGGACCAGCAGATTGTTTCTATGGGTAAAAATGCATCTGAATTCCAAACACAAAATGTCAAGATTCTTTACTACAAGTGAAGTGTCTACTGAAACTTTAAAATGGGGCTTGATTCTTCAGTTTTCAAAAGATAAACATGAAAAAAAGGTATTATATAAACTTTGATGTTTTTGAACTGTGGTGCTGGAGAAGACTCTTCAGAGTCCCTTGGACTACAAGGAGATCCAACCAGTCCATCCTTAAGGAAATCAGTCCTAAATATTCATTGGAAGGACTGAGGCTGAAGCTGAAACCCCAATACTTTGGCCACCTGATTGTGAAAGACTGACTCACTAGAAAAGACCCTGATGGTGGGAAAGATTGAAGGCGTGAGGAGAAGGGGACAACAGAAGATGTGATTGTTGGATGGCATCACTGACTCTATGGACATGAGTTTGAGTAAGCTCCAGGAGTTGGTGATGGATAGGGAAGCCTGGCGTGCTGCAGTCCATGGGGTTGCAAAGAGTCAGACACGACTGAGCAACTGAATTGACTGATGCAAAAAAAAAATAAAAAAATATATATATATTCAAAGAGTTGTTTCTCTCTCATTCCTGCTGAACTATTGTCATTATTGCATCATTACCACCCCATACCTCCTGAACCCCTGTGTGTGTGTTGCTTAGTCATGTCCAACTCTTTGCAATCCCATAGACTGCAGCCCACCAGGCCCCTCCATCCATGGGATTCTCCAGGCAAGAACACTGGAGTGGGTTGCCATTTCCTCCTCCAGGGGATCTTCCTGACTAAGGAACTGAACCAGAGTCTCCTGCAGCTTCGCATTGGCAGGTAGATTCTTTACTATTGAGCCACCTGGGAAGCCCAACTATCACACAGCATGTGTTTATTATCACCTTCACATTTCAGCTGAAAAAAAAATGACTACCAGAGAAGTTACATTGTTTAATGTAACAAAGATAATATGGCAGAGAATATCAATTGTTCTCCAAAATCCATTCTCTATTTCTTTTAGTAAAAAAAAAACCAAAAAAAAAAAAAACCAAAACAAAAACTAAAGTCTTAGCTGGACACAAGGCTGCCCCAAATAAAAACTAAATTTCCCTGCTTCTCTTATAGCTAGATGTGACCATGAGATTAAGTTCTGATAAATGGTATGTAAATGAAAGTAATATGTGAGACTTCCAGGTCATTGCCTTAAAGGAAACAGCTATATACTCCACTTCCTTTCTTTCAGCCCTCTCAGTTGATATAATGTAGAAGGTATTTGTTCATGTACATGGAGCAGCACCTTAGGGATGACAGGACAACAAAGAAGTAACCTGGGTTATAGTCCTTGTCAAATCACCATATCAGGCCTGGACCAACTTGCTGAACCATTATAGAACCAATAAATAAATGTCTTAAAACTGTTATGGTGTCTTAGCAGCTTAATCTATGTATCTTACCTAATGTATCCTATCCTAAGAGCTTGGATTTGAACTGTACATACCGCCTGGACTGTATCTCCAGTCCCCTCCCCATAAAGAAACTTTTTTATTGAATTGTGCTCTGCTAAGAAGGTACTGGGTGCTAGAAAGCTAAGAGTCAAATGTAGGGTCATTCATAGCAAGTGTATATGACTTGTCAATAAGTATTTCTTGTCTAGCTTCATCCTTGGGTTTATTTTCTGTTTGTATCATTATTTTTCATTTTTGATTTGACCTAATTATAATGTACACTACCTCATATTTTACATACCATAAAATATAACACCTTAAATTCTTTCAGAATGTGATTAGATTTAAATAAGCATAAATATTGCTTTCTTTATGGTTTAATTGATTGTACACATACCATTTTTACACCTATCACTTTCCTTTGTTTACATAATTGTCTCTATATTATACTATCAATTCCTTAAAGGTGTGAACAGTGATGCTTTTCTTCTTCTATACATTCTTGCATGGAGCGTGACAACAAAATAGTTGAATGCTCAAGCAATGTTTGTTGAATAAATGAATTTCACAAGGTCAGCAATGCTAGTAAATGTCACTGTATCATATGGAATTTTCTTCCATAGTAACTTGAGCCAGAGAGAAGACACAGCTTTAAAAACTGGCTAGGGGAAAGTGTCACATGTTTGGAGGAATGATGGTGAGGACAGGAAATACGTACCTTGACACAGTGCTCAATTAGGATTTCCACCACAATATTCTGGAATTTGATGTTCATCATGGCAGCCACAGTGTCCTCCTGAGCTCTCATGAGAGTGGGCCCAAAGATCACCCCCATGTTAGAGGGGGTCATAAGATTCTCTTTGCTGTGTTCACACACACTGCCAGAAGAGAAAGAAAATGATTAATAAGATTTTTTCCAAGACTCTCTTGTAACTAAAACTGTGTTAGATGCTTTAGGGTGTAAGAGAAACTACAAAGCAAAAGAAAAGGAGAGTTCCAAAATATAAATGGTAAGAAAAGATTACAAAGAAAGCAACTAGCAAAGAATACAAGATAGTATATAATTAGGGGCCAAAGTGAAACATAGCTAACTTAGTTCATAGCACTGTACAAGTCATGAGAAGGGGAGTAGATGGCTATAGTGTTTGGAAAGACAGGTGAGAAGCAAGATGGCACTCCAGAGCAAGAGTTACAGTATGTACAAAACATATATAATTAAAAAGCACAGAGAGAAAGTGCCTATCACTCTTATCAGTCAAGAATCTAGTCTCTTCCTCAGCTCTAGCTAAGAGGCAAAGAGCTCTAAGAACCAAAAGAGATCCTTAAGAACAGCACTTTTGCATTGCCCTTACTTTATAGACGAGAAAATAGAGATCCAATGAATGAAAGAGATTTGGCTGAAGCCATAATCAGTTAGCTTGATTACTGAAGGGCCTGTAATCCAAAATTTTCTGGTCCTTAATTATGTTCTTTACTTAAATTACCTTTAGTGGCTTCCTATTACTTATAGGACACTGCCAATTGTCCTTAAAGTAGCAATTAAACTCTTCAGTAACTTGACACCTACTTCCAATCTCAATGCACAGTCTGGGCTCTGAAGCTGACCTGGGTTTTAATCCCAGCACTGTCACCCATTAGATGTGCAACAGTGAGTATTGGTGACCAAACCTCTCTGGGCTTAAGCTTCCCCACTATGAACATAGTATCCATCTCAGAGGGTTGTGAAATAGAGCTAACTTGTGTTAGAAAGGTATCCTGGAAATATTTAATTAGAAGGATTTACTATTATAATGACCTCTCCAGGAGGCTCCATCTAAAAAATGCAGACATATAACACCCATATGTTGTTATTGTTCAGTCTCTAAGTGGTATCTGACTCTTTGCAACCCCATGGACTGTAGTAACTGGGCTTCCCTGATGGCTCGGAGGGTAAAGCATCTGCCTGCAATGTGGGAGACCTGGGTTCGATCCCTGGGTTGGGAAGATCCCCTGGGGAAGGAAATGGCAACCCACTCCAGTACTCTTGCCTGGAAAATCCCATGGATGGAGAAGCCTGTAGGCTACAGTCTATGGTAGGCTACAGTGGACTACAGTAAGTCTGGCTTCTCTGTCCTTCACTATCTCCTGTAGTTTGCTTAGATTTATGTTAATTGAATCAGTGATGCCAACCAATCATCTCATTCTCTGTCACCTGCTTTTCCTCCTGCCCTCAATTTTCCCCAGAATCAAGGTCTTTATTAATGAGTAAGCTCCTCCCTTCAAGTGGCCAAAGTATTGGAGCTTCAGCTTCAGCATCAGTCCTTTCAATGAATATTCAGGGTTGATTTCCTTTAGGATTGACTGGCTTGATATCCTTGCCATTCAAGAGACTCTCAAGAGTCTTCTCCAGCACCACAGTTTGAAAGCATCAGTTTTTTAGTACTCAGCCTTCTTTATGGTACAACTGTCACATCTGTACATGACTAATGGAAAAACCATAGCGTGGACATACGGACTCTGCTTTTTAAGATGCTGTCTAGGTTTGTCACAGCTTTTTTTCCAAGGAGCAACTGTCTTAATTTCAAGGCTGCAGTCACCATCCAAAGTGATCTTGGAGACCAAGAAAATAAAATCCACTGCTGTTTCCATTTTTTCCTCATCTATTTGCCATGAAGAGATGGGACCAAGTGTCATGATATTAATTTTTGAATGTTGAGTTTTAAGCCAGCCTTTTCACTCTCCTCTTTCAACCTCATCTAGAGGCTCTTTAGTTCCTCTTCATTTTCTGCCATAAGGGCGGTATCATCTGCATATGTGAGGTTGTTGATATTAATCCTAGCAATCTTGATTCTAGTTTATGATTCATTCAGCCCAGCATTTCATATGATATACCCTGCATATAAGTTAAATAAGCAGGATGGCAATATACATCCTGATGTACTCATTTTCCAATTATGACCCAATCCATTGTTCCATGTTCAGTTTTAACTGGTGCTTCTTGACCTGCATACAAATTTCTCAAGAGGCAGGTAAGGTGTGTATACCAGAGTACATCCATCTCTTTAAGAATTTTAGACAATTTGATGTGATCCATACAGTCAAATGCTTTCAAGTAGTCAATGAAGCAGAAGATGTTTTTCTGGAATTTTCTTGCCTTTTCTACGATCCAACAGTTTTTGACAATATGATCACTGTTCTGCATTTTCTTAATCCAGCTTGTACATCTGGAAGTTCTTGGTTCATGTACTGCTGAAGACTAGCTTGAAGGATTTTGAGCATTACCTTCCTAGCATGTGAAAGGAGTGTAACTGTGAGGTTGTTTGAACATTCTTTAGCATTGCCCTTCTTTGGGATTGGAAAGAAAACCAACCTTTTCCAGGCCCGTGGCCACTGCTGAGTTTTCCAAATTTGCTAGCACATTAAGTGAAGCACTTTAACAGCATCACCTTTAGGATTTGGAAAAGCTCAGCTGAAATTCCATCACCTCCACTAGCTTTGTTCATAGTAATGCCTCTTAAGGTCCTCTTGACTTCACACTCCAGTATGTCTGGCTCTAGGTGAGTGACCACACCATTGTGGTAATCCAAATCATTAAGACCACTTTTTGTAAAGCTATTCTGTGTATTCTTGTCATGTCTTCTTAACCACTTCTGCTTCTGTTAGTTCCTTGCAGTTTCTGTCCTTTATTGTGCCCATCTCTGCATGAAATGTTCCCTTGATATCTCTAAGTTTCTTGAAGAGATCGCTAGTTTTTTTCCCATTTTACTGCTTTCCTCTACTTCCTTCCATTGATCATTTAAAAAGGCCTTCTTTTTTCTCCTTGCTATTTTCTGCACCTCTGCATTCAGATGGGTGTATCTTTGCCTTTATCCTTTGCCGTTTGCTTCTCTTCTTTCCTCAGCTATTTGTAAGGCCTCCTCAGACAACATTTTGCCTTGTTGCATTTATTTTTCTTTGGGATGGTTTTGGTCACCACCTCTTGTTTATTGTTACAAACCTCCATCCACATTTCTTCAGGCACTCTGTCTACCAGATCTAATCCCTTGAATCTATTTGTCACTGTATTATCATAAGGGATTTCATTTAGGTCATAGTTGAATGGCCTAGTGCTTTTCCCTACTTTCTTCAATTTTAGTCTGAAGTTTTCAATAAGGAGTTCATGAGCTGAGCCACAGTCAGCCCCAGGTCTTGTTTTTGTTGACTATATAGAACTTCTCCATCTTTGGCTGGGAGGAACATAATCAATCTGATTTCAGTATTGATTATCTGGTGATGTCCATGTGTAGAGTTGTCTCTTGTGTTGTTGGAAGAGGGTATTTGTTATGATCAGTACGTTCTCTTGGCAAAACTCTGTTAGCTTTTGCCCTGCTTCATTTTGTACTCCAAGGCCAAACTTGCCTGTTGCTCCAGGTATCTCTTGACTCCATATTTTTGCATTCCAGTCCCCTATGCTGAAAAGGAAATCCTTGTTTGGTGCTAGTTCTAGAAGGTCTTGTAGGTCTTCATAGAACCGTTCAACCTCAGTTTCTTCGGCATTAGTGGTTGGGGCATACACTTGGACTAATGTGATGTTGAATGGTTTGCTTGGAAATATACCAAGATCATTCTGTCATTTTTGAGACTGCACTCAAGTACTGCATTTTGGACTCTTTTGCTGACTATGAGGGCTACTCCATTTCTTCTAAGGGATTTGTGCCCCCAAATAGTCATAATGGTCATCTGAATTAAATTTACCCCTAACTGTCCATTTTAATTTACTGAATCCTAAAATGTTGACACATATACTACACTTCCTAGATAAGGTTTTCTGGATATATTATGTTATGTCAGATCTCCATATCTTTGCTTCATGCTATTTCCTCTGTTTCTAATATCTCCATCCTCCTATATCCAAAGAATATCTATTTATCCTTTGAGATTCACTTTAGGTGACATCTTCTTCAGGGCTCTCTTAGCCCACTGTCCTCATCTTGATTGACATCATTGGTAAGTCAAGCATGTTGCAATTTTTGGTATCCTATCTGCCTTTCCTACTAGTTGGTAAATAACTTCCAAGTATGTGTGTGCTTCACACAGAGCAGATACTAATTAATTATTTTAATAGAACTGAGGGACTCTAGTGCTCTTTCATGTAGTAGTTAAGCCAGCCAAGTAAAAGCTGTTTGGCCTTTGGTCACTTTGGTTGTGAGTTGGGGGGATGAGGGAGTGGAACAGCTCACTGAAAACCAAATTGAAAATCCTGTCCAGATCAAGGCCCTTGAAAGACTCACTGGCATCAAGAGGCAGGCTCTAGTCACTGAGTAGGTAATTGAGAGGGACTGAATCCTTAAACAAATCCTAATGAAGTCTGTTAATCCCAAGGCTGGGTACCATTCAGATGATAATGAACAATAACTATTCACTGGCCTTTGATATTGCTGGACTGGTGATGGATCCCTTTTAACCTTAAATACTTACACAATTAATTAACCCTTATTCTTCAGTGACAGAATAGTTTAGATGTTAAAACAGAAAAGCACCTCCATTCTGCCACCAAGGTATCCAGAATGGCTAAACCACTAGTAACAAATCAAGGACACTAGTGAGACAACAGCCTCCAGCATGTATGAATGCTTATCTCCTTCTTAGAGTTTTGAAAGAAAGTTACTTTGGTTGAATATGCAGTTCACCTAATCCCATAACTCCAAAAGGCAGAGTGTTTTATCTCTAAAGCCTAGTTTCACAGAGGGAAAAGCACTTAGTCAAGGTCAATTTGTGAGTACATGGCAATACAGGGATTCAAACCCATATCTGTTGGGCTCCAAGTCTTAAAGTCATCTCATTGCATCCCACTGCCTCCTTATCTAGTATCCAGTTCCTGTCAAGAAATCAGCCCCTATGGGATCCTCTTTAAGCTAAA